CCAGTCAATATTAGCACAAAACCTTCAGGCTTCTGCTAGAAAGCTGAACACTAAGAGGAACTTCATCTTTCAGCATAACGACCCAAAGCATACATACAAATCAACAAAGGAATAGCTTCACCAGAAGAAAATGAAAGGCTTGGAGTGGCCCAGCTAGTGCCCAGGCCTGAATCCGATAGAAAATCTGTGGGGTGATATGAAGAGGGCTGTGCACAGGAGATGCCCTCACAATCGGGAAGATTTGGAGTGTTTTTGCAAGGAAGAGTGGGCAAATATTGCCAAGTCAAGATGTGCCATGCTGAAAGACTCATTCCCAAAAAGACTGAGTGCGGGTATCACATCAAAGGGTGCTTCAACAAAGGATTAGTTTAAGGGTGAGTACACTTATGCAACCATATTTTCGTTTTCTATTTTTTTTTTCCCTCCAACTAAAATATTTCAGTTTGTTGTTTAACTGAGTTGTACAGTTTTTATAGGTCACATTAAAGGTGGAAAAAGTTCGGAAATGATTTATCTTTGTCTCATTTTTTTACATCACAGAAACCTGACATTTTAACAGGGGTGTGTTGACTTTTTATACCCACTGTATTCACCTCCAGTCAAATATACCATCAACTACATCAGTCTTTAAAGTCATTTTAAATGTAATTGTAAAATAGTTTGATTGGATTGTAATGGGCAACCCTAAAAAAGAACTCTCATGAGCATTGAAAAGTTAATAGGTTCAAACATTCGTGTCTAAAAACCTGTATTTGCCTCTCTAATGAAACGATATTGAAATATGTAAAACAAATCCCTTCTTTATTCCATGCTTTCCGACTTCTGTGTGCATCACATCCCCTGATAGAAGCCCCATTTGTGGGTGTTGCTAATGTTGAGCTCAGGCAGAGCTCAGTTTCCACCTCACCTTGTTTAGTAAGCAGAGCTAGGGGATGGAAGCGTCAGCTGGAGGGCTCCCACTTTGTTTCCCCTTCTGACTTTTCACTATCACTAGGACAGTCTCCACCTGGTTTCGTTTTAGGTACTGAGTCACTCAACATATATTTAAATTGGGATATGGAATGCAAGTGCATAATAAAAACTGTTTAGCCAAAAGTTGCTTGATCCAGTCTAGTTATCCTTTTTCCTTGCTTTCTGTGTTTTTCCTTGAATAACCAAGACTACAAGGAAATGAGATCCTATGCTGGTCTGTTATGGTGTGGGTGTCTGCACCATAACCAGTGATGCTGTGTGGCCCAGCTACCATCTTCCTGGGTCTATTGGTAGCTGCAGGATCCTTTTGGCTGTGTGTATCTCGAGATTCGCTTCCCCCATCCCCACAGCAAATTGGATTTGGCAAGCTGGAACGTATAGTGTGCTAGATGGGTTTGTGAATTGTTTCGCTTATAGCAACCAATGGTGATGTGCAGCCCAGTCACCAGCATCCTAGCAAACCAAAGAACAGAGAGGGGGGGTGAAATGCGAATGAACATGCCTTCTTCTGGATTCTTAGTTTCAGCACTTCCCATCGGCAAGCGCATGGTGTCAGAAGGTGCCATTGATCAAGACTCATTAGTTAATTGTTATTAGTTGATTGGCGGAAGGGGGTGTTGTGCATACTGATGACCATACCAACACAGCTTGGAGACCATGCAGAAAGACAGGACAAAGTGCTACATGCAGAACCGGAGCAACCAATGAAAGTTTAGACCTCTTCTTCAACAGGTTCAGTAGTCATTGTTAGCTGTACAAAAGGGGTAGGCAAACTTTGTTTCTCCAGCTGTGGTGAAACTACAAATCCTATTCTGTTTCTTGCAGTGCCTCATGGGACTCATAGTTCCTGAGCAGTTGGAGGACCAAAGATGCCATAGAACATCACTGTACCTCCAAAAGCCTTTTATAGCCTAACGTCCCTATAATGGCCATATTGAAAAGGATTGGAGATTACCAGTAGGTAAAAGCACTAACTCTCCAGCACCTCAAAGGGGTCAATGCCAGGTACTCCAAATACAAGTAGGTACTCTAAATGTCAGGGCTTCACTGGTACAGGACTGTAATGTCACCCTTTCACAATACCCAAAACCTTCCTATGTAAGGAAAAACCATGATGATGATGCCAGTTTGCCTCTTTAGTGTTGTTTTCTCCAATACAGTTAATACACTTTAGCATCTTTTCTAATACATCACAAGAGCCCATTAAAACTACTCTTTCTGTATCTTACTGCTCACCATCATTATTTGTCTGATCTCTATATTCTTCCTACATAGCACAATTCAATTTCAGCCTCTTCAGTGTTCAATATGAGAAGTGCAGAGTACTCCGACTTTGTTTAGTGTAGAATTGTATGTGAGTCACCACCATAATACATCAATACTGGAACATCTTTTCATCATTTGACTTTAGTAATACCTGATCCTAGTAATAATAATAGACATGTAACTCTTTTCCTCATAGGCACAGTCTGATCCATTCAAAGTATCGATGGGAATCTACAGTATTCTCACTAATGTGCAGCTTGTTTATCTTCATGTTGACATTGGTGATATGGTTACTGGACAACATTAGCTTTTGTGTACAAACCATTCCTAGCAAAGTATAACTCGTGGGCCTTCAGCTCTTCACCTTTTACACAGTCAGGGTATTTGTCATTTACATATAAGTTTTCTATATTGAAACAAAAATTGACCCCAACATCTGGTTACGTAAGGGGTCCCAAAATGTGTTTAATTTTGGGCAGAGTGTGGGGCGGGTTAAAATTTCTGCTAACTTTTTATTGCTGCATGTGCTCATCTTTGGATATTTCTCCTTACTCTGTGTATTTGACAGCTGTCAGACAAAATAGGAAATGTTTGAAAATCTCCCCACTTCTTATCTGTTTGATGGGTTTCATACAGAACTGGAAGCAAGGGAATATCCCACCCAATAGGCACAGAAGCAACAATAAAATCCCATGTTCTAGAAGAGTTAGAACTGCCGTCAGTGTTGCTGTTGTATTGCTGTTCGTATCCATATGACGGAGGCTTCTTCTCGTGTCTTTTCCAGGAAACAGAGTCAGATAGAATAGCAGAAGAAAGATCCCATTTATGGTTATACCAAATGTATTTATAATACAGACTTTAAAATCTGACAGATTACATCCAAAAAAGTGACAGAAATCCCAACCTGTATTCAAGATTTGCTTACGATGTTAGAACTACCCTCTTCTATGAGACCCCAGTATCCTTGTAGTATATTGCCTATACATACAGCTGTGGTTTGAACCGTTATCTATTTAATGATAATTACAGATGTATTGGGGATAACATTTTAAATTCAGTTTAATCCAATCTAGTGTAGGGATAGTTAATTGCCTAGTATAGGATAGTCAAAGCTGGGATGAGTTATAAAAGATAGTTATTTGGAAACCCATAGGTCTTCCTTTTGTATTGTTTTGATGCTAGTACTGACCTAGATATACAAGATCTTTTATAGTTCCATACAGATTAAAAAAAGTCAGACTGGAAAGCCTTTGTGTGATACTGTCTATTCCAATACCTATCACAGTTTCAAATATATTGTGTAGGAGAGTTGGGAATTTCTTGGTACTGCAATTTTATGGTTGGATTTCTGTTTTAGATAATGTAGTTTCCACTCATAGCAGTGGTCTCCAAGCTGCGGCACGTATATCTGCCTTTATCCTGCCCCTGGGGCACGATTCCTTCCACTGACACCAACAATGGGGCACCATTACTTCTACTGATGAATGATGGAACACTCTTCCTCCCTCTGACATGAAGTATGAGGAATTGTTTTCCCCATAAATACCAATGATGGGCCACTATTTCTCCTCCTACTGCTCAAGTATTTATTTTTTTTACTCCCATTGATCACCTAGCCTGATACACTGTATACTCCCACTGGGGCTGGAGAATTTTCTACTTCCTCTGGCCATTGTCCAGTCCTAAAATCTGAAGGACACTGGCCCTTTGTATAAAATGTTTGGAGACCCCTAATTTATAGGGATAGACTTGTTTCAGAGAATGAAGGCTGTTTAGTAGGTAAAGCTTCAATGTTCTCTTTTTCAATTCTGTAATTCGATTTCTCCAAAGGACCGGAAGTTCAGCGGGTGAAAAATCTTGGTGTGGACCGAGCCTTTGCTTTCCATTTAAGAAGGTTCAAGGGGGTCATTAATAAAATATATTGCTGGTATGCAGTGACATTTTGTAATCTGTCTTCACATGGATACCTTTTAGTGCATGTATTCACAGGCATTTGTGTCAACAATGGTTTTCTTCCCATACACCTTAATAAGAATAATGTGATCGGGTGAGATCATGGTTTAATGTCGTTATTTATTTATTCGCTCACTGTACTGGCACTTCCATTCTTATCCTGATTATAGATTATATGAACTACACATAATTATACAAACTGGATTTAATAAAATAAATACGTTTAAATCATTTTAAAAAAATAACTGAAGTGAGGGGGGGTTCTCTGTATTTGCCCAGAGTTCTGTATTATAAAGTAATTAAATGTCTCCTCTTATTTGCTTAGAATCAATATGTGTGTGTATGTCTGAAATATATTCTAACCTAGTCACTTAGCTTTTTTTGTAAGGAATAATTTCAGTAAGATCATTTTCCATGCTAAAGTACTACCTAAAAACTGCAGTAGTATATATAGATCTATGAATATTGTGATGTGCCTTACATATAATACACCTCATATATCATCAGGCTTAATCTTCAATAAGAAAAACTGAGAAAAAGAACTTTAGCAGATATGTTTACATTTTTTTTTTTTTACATTTTTATTGTATGCTTTTTTTTTTATTATTAACAAAATAAGCAAGTTGGTAAGTTTTTGATTGACTTAAATGAACTATATATGCACCTCTAAAGTCCACTCTTTTTTCTCAGCTTTTATTATTTAATATTTAAGTCTCCCTTTTGTAAAGCTATGTACTATTCTGTTATACATAAACCAGAATAGCCGGACACTTGTGTTACAAAATTTATGTTTTTGTTTTTTTTTTTTGCAGCTTTTAAGTGAAAAAATCAGTGGAGCAGAAGGAACAAAACTCGACAATGATTTCCAAGAAATGGAAAGGGTAAGATTTAAGTGATTTAATTTGTAAGTACATAAGAATATAAATTGTTGGACATTGCAAACTATGTTGGCGTAGTTTTTTTTTAGACAGTCTCACTCTGCAAAGGTGGAAAATGCCTGATGAAGGATTGGAAAAAGGTGAGTGCCTGCTGCTGAGATGTCTATAGCTTTGGTTTGAACTTGTTCAGATGTCTTCTTTATAAGTGGATCAAGGAGACACCACATGTACTGTCCTTTTGGGGATGTTACCTAGCATACAGTGTCTAGTGGATTTATACATCAGGTAGAAAAAAAATGGTTAACTGACCGGCAGAAATCCAACTCTGAGACTGTTCTTGAAGGTAATGTATAGTTTTTTGTTTTGTTTTTTTTTCTTTACATCCAGCCAGCAGGTAGAACTCCAATCTTCTTTTGCAAATATTTTAAAGTTTTCAGTACAGCTTTATTAACACATTAAAAAAAAAGCAAAATTAAAGTAGCAAGGCCCCTTTAATCTATTAACTTGAAGCAGACCTTCACTGAAAACCTGAAATTCTGCTCTTTCTCCTCCCTGCCTACTTGCCTCCTCTGCCAAAAATGAAATCATTTAATTTTTGGAGGGGGAAAAGGGGAGTGAGTACCTTTTTCTAACAGGTACCAGGTCCCACTTTGCTTAGATTGCCTTGCCTATACTGGTGAAGGACTGGCCCAGGTGAGGACAGCATTGTATTTCTGGACTGGTCAGTGTCTTTTTAATCAAAGTCAGCAGCTACAGTATTTTGTAGCTGCTGACTTTTTTTCTCCTAAGAGACTGAAGAACCTCTCTAAGTTGAGAGAATGTTTGTTTGTTTTCCATGTAAAGGGTTGGGTTCTTTTTTCCTAACTCCACTAAAGCTTTGATTCAGGGGTACTCTGAGAATGTCTGCCAAGATCATTGTTTTGGACTAAGTTTACATTTTTAGGGGGAGGAAGAGTGTGAAGTAAGAAAATAAAGATGGGAAAGGTAGCTAGTAGCTATGAAAGTAGTGAATGTAAGATTTATTTAAAAACAAAATGTGTGACAGGAGAGATTCTAGGGAGAGGTGGGAAGGACAGGGAAGGTGTTGTGATGTAGGTGAGGAACCCAAGTGGAGAGTACTCAACCTAGGAGGCAGTGCTTACATGGATAGACCCACTAGATGGATGTAATTAACCACTTGCCAACCACCTACCCACCTGCACTGTACTGCAGTTATGATTTATGATGGGTAATATACAGCGGGTAAATTAAGTATTGAACACGTCACCATTTTTCACAGTAAATATATTTCTAAAAGTGCTATTGACATAAAATTTTCCCCCCAAGTCGGTAACAACCCATGCAATTCATACACATAAAGAAGCCAAAACAAAAGTTCAGAAATTAAGTTCTGTGTAATGAAATGGAATGACACAGGGAAAAAGTATTGAACACGCTAACTGAAATGTATTTAATACTTTGTACAAAATCCTTCGTTGGTTATAACGGCTTCAAGACACCTCCTGTATGGAAAAACTAGTTGCATGCATTGCGCAAGTGTGATTTTGGCCCATTCTTCCACACACAGTCTTCAAATTTTGATGGTTCCGTGGGCCTCTTCTGTGAATTCTGATCTTTAGTTCTTTCCATAGATTTTATATTGGATTCAATCAGGTGATTGGCTGGGCCATTCTAGCAGATTTATTTTCTTTCTTTGAAACCAATTGAGAGTTTCCTTGGCTTTGTGTTTGGGATCATTGTCTTGCTGAAATGTTCACCCTCATTTCATCTTCATCATCCTGGTAGATGGCTGCAGATTTTTATCAAGAATGTCTTGGTACATTTTTCCATTCATCCTTCCTTCAATGACATGACTTTGCCAGTACCATATGCTGAAAAACAGCCCCTTACCATCATGTTCCCATCTCCAAACTTCACTGTTGGTATGGTGTTTTTGGTGCCATTTGACCTCCAGACAGGGTGTGTATTATGGCATCCGAAGAGTTAAAATTTGGTCTCATCTGACCAGACTATATTCTCCCAGTATTCTACTGGTTTGTCTAAATGTTGTGCAGCAAACTTTAAACAAGCTTCAATCTTGCATAGCAAGCGTGCATACAGGTCAAGGCGGTTGAGTGCATTACTTACTGTTTTCTCTAACACAAATGTACCTGCTAATTCCAGGTCTTTCTGAAGCTTTCCACAAGTGGTCCTTGGCTCTTGGACAACTCTTCTGATAATTTTTCACTCTTCTGTCAGAAATCTTGTGAGGACCACCTGTTCGTGACTGATATATATGGTGAAATTATGTTCTTTTCACTTATGGATTATGGCCCCAACAGTGCTCACTGGAACATTCAGAGTGTAGAAATCCTTCTGTAACCAATGCCATCAGTATGTTTTGCAATAATAAGGTTGCAAAGGTCTTGAGAGAGCTCTTTGCTTTTACCCATCATGAGATGTTTCTTGTGACACCTTGGTAATGAGACACCTTTTTATAGGCCATCAGTTGAGACTGGACCAGCTGATATTAATTTGTACTGACAAGAGGCAGGATTGCTTTCTAATTACTGATAGATTTTAGCTGGTGTCTTGGCTTTCCATGCCTTTTTGCGCCTCCATTTCTTCATGTGTTCAATACTTTTTTCCCTGTTGTTCCATTTTATTACACATAACTTAATTTCTGAACTTTTTTGTGTTGGTTTCTTTGTATGTATGGATTGCATGGGTTGTTACCGACATGTGGTGAACATTTCCTGTCAATAGCACCTTTAGAAATATATTTACTGAGAAAAATGATGTGTTCAATACTTATTTTACCCGCTGTATATGGAGACATGGTGACACCACTACACTTTGCTATTGCTAATTTTTACACTAAACGCATAGGAAGCAGAAATGCTTCCTAAATCCTCCCACTCTGCAGTTTGCACAAAAAAAAAAAAATAACATATTTAAAAAATGGGGCAGATGGACCACTTGCCCTTTTTTCTGCCATCACTCGTCTGTTTGCTATCCAACTGTGCCTAGATAGATCAGCTACCCTTAATGCTGATGCTATCACACTGATCAGCTGCTTTTATCTCCCCACTTCATGCCCTTCTCCTTTTTCATGAGAATTGTATGAAATATTGTTTTTTTTTTTTGGTGTTTTTATATTCTATAAATATAAAAACATATTCTGTATAAATTAGAGCATAAAGATGTGGGTTTGACTCAAGAATGTTTGAATCCACTTACTATTAATTGACTGACTGGGGTGATTATCATCTCATGTCGGTGGGCACCCTTGGGATTTATAGTATCAGAAAGAAGATAAGCAGCCTTTGTCAAGCTGAGGAATTTATACATTTTACAACAACCCAGCAATTTCTTTACATTTGTGTACAGACAATGGTCATATTAATCTTTCTGCAAAGGTATCCCTACCACATTTTCAGCACACACAGTAGGTCTTTTTTGTGTGCACACATCCAAACAATTGCTTCAATCTGTCTCAAAGTAAGAACAGGCATGCCTTGATCATAAATCCTGAATGGTTAGAAACAAAGGTTCAGTCCTTTTGCCATGGTTTGAAGTTAAAGTGACTCTGTCAGGTTATAAAAAAAAATCTAATTAACGGTCCCTGCAATAAAATAGGTATTATACTCGCCTCTGACGGCCTGTGTCTTCTATCATCCCTCCATTCAAGAGCTGTAGCCTTTGCCAGTCTCTTCGGTATTTAACAGTTCCAGTCAATATTCAATCCATCTATTCCCATATGGAAGAAAAATATATTTGAAATGCTACAGTTTTGGCCATATTCAGTATATTTGTGTGTATATGTGTGTGTGTGTATGCAGTTGTGTTCAAAATAATAGCAGTGTGTTGAAAAAAGTGAATAAAGCTCAAAATCCTTCTAATAGCTTTTATTTCCATACACACAAATGCATTGGGAACACTACACATTCTATTCCAAATCAAAACATGAAGAAAAATAGATCAAATTTGTGTTGTTCCTCTAAAAAAAAATTGAAGAAAAGTGAATATTAGACTGTTCAAAAAAATAGCAGTGTTTGTATTCTTCTTTACAAACTCAAACATTCACTATATAAACTGAAAAATGTTTGAAGATTTTGCTTTCCTTTGAATCACTTAATGAATATTTCGTTGTATAAGCACTGTTTCTGAGAACTGTTGTACATCTGTGTTGCATGGAGTCAGCCAACTTCTGGCCCCTGTGAACAGGTATTCCAGCCCAGGATGATTGGACTACATTCCACAATTCTTCTCTATTTCTTGGTTTTGCCTCAAACTGCATTTTTGATGTCACCCCACAAGTTTTCTATTGGATTAAGATCCGGGGATTGGGCTGGCCACTCCATAACGTCAATCTTGTTGGTCTGGAACCAAGATGTTGCACGTTTACTGGTGTGTTTGGGGTCGTTGTCTTGTTGGAACACCCATTTCAAGGGCATTTCCTCTTCAGCATAAGGCAGCATGACCTCTTCAAGTATTCTGATGTATTCAAACTGATCCATGATCCCTGGTATGCGATAAATAGGCCCAACGCCGTATTATGAGAAACATCCCCATATCATGATGCTTGCACCACCATGCTTCACTGTCTTCACAGTGTACTGTGGCTTGAATTCAGTGTTTGGGGGTCATCTGACAAACTGTCTCCGGCCACTAGACCCAAAAAGAACAATCTTACTTTCATCAGTCCACAAAATGTTGCGCCATTTCTCTTTAGGCCAGTCAATGTGCTCTTTGGCAAATTGTAACCTCTTCAGCACGTCTTTTTTTCCAACAGTGGGACTTTGCGGGGGCTTCTTGCAGATAGCTTGGCTTCACATAGGCGTCTTCTAATTGTAACAGTACTCACAGGTAACTTTACACCATTCATTGATCTTCCTGGAGCTGATTGTTGGCTGAGTCCTTGCCATTTTGGCTATTCTTCTATCCATTCGAATGGTAGTTTTTTGCTTTCAGGTTTTGGTTGCCATTTTAAAGCATTTGCGATCATTTTAGCTGAGCAGCCTATCATTTTCTGCACTTCTTTATATGTTTTCCCCTGTCCAATCAACTTTTTAATCAAGGTACGCTGTTCTTCTGAAGAATGTCTGGAACGACCCATTTTCCTCAGAGTTTCAGAGAGAAATGCACTGTAACCAGCATGTACAACATTTGCTGCCTTCCTTCCTTAAATAAGGGCAATAATTGCCACCTGTTTTTCAAAGAATGAATGACCTCACTAATAGAACTCCACACTGCTATTATTTTGAACATGCCCAATTCAGTATAATGAGCCTGTCAGGTTTTTTTTTTTTTTTTGCACGCGATTACTGCCATCGGCTATAGCCACGGCAATAATCATTGTGTTCTATATATGGTCGTTCATTAAACTTTTGGACCCATATTGGTGATCCTCGGTGTGCTGGTGACATTCTCCTTTGCTGATTCTGTTTTGGTTCCAGCCGACGGTTGCTGCAGCACCCACTTCACTTATAAATTTTTAACGCAGGAACGTGAGCGTTGGGATTGTACACTTGCATGCTGCCGGCAGAACATAACGCTGCAAGAGGGATTACCCCATCAATACTGACTGTGCTTAATGAGGGAATTGAGCAATTTTCTTTCTTTTCACCTTTGGTGGAAGGAAAGAAAATCGGCCATCTATTCCTTGCCTTACTCTTTTATGTGTGTATATTTGTATGACTATGGTAAAGGATTGTAAGCTTCCTTGGATTTAAATGGTTCATTGTTCTCTGAAAATGAGTGGATTATGTTATTACTGTTTAAATGAGGAAAACAAATGAAAACACTCTTATCTAAATTAAAAAAAAAAGAATGTGCAGAATAAAATGCATGCAAATGTCCGACTACAACAGCCTCCCAAACCTTCCTGTCTCAGGTATATCCAGGCTGTTTGTTGCGGGGAAAACCCTTGCACTTCCAGGTAGTGTTAGAACTTACTGGTAAGCCCCACCTCACACATTCCGAAAGGGCCAATACCAGGGGCGGACTGACAACTCATGGGGCCCCGGGCAATAGGGGATCATGGGGCCCCCTACTGACCCCGGGCCCTCGGGCTGTGCCCGAGTTTCCAAATGGTCAGTCCGCCCCTGGCCCATACCGATCATGGGCTACCGAATTGGCCAGTATCATTGTACAGGAAGCAAGAAGGGGCATGGAAGTTCAGGTCCTATCAGGAAGTGTTGGAGCTATGCTTATCAGGACACTTGATGCTCAACCCCAACAAGAGGGTCTGAAAGGCTATGTGAAGGTACCTCCAGGTGCCTGGATGTTATATCTGCAACAATTTTTTTTTTTTTGTTTTTTTTTTTGTTTTTTTTTAGTTAGACGACAGATTCTCTTGAAAGTATATCGAAGTCCAAGGACAAAAATAACATATGGGAGTTTACCAGTCTTTAAATGTCATTGTTGCACTAGTTTTGTGGGGGGGGGGGGCTAAATGCATTTTCTGAAAACACAGAAAAATACCTGTTGATCCTTCCAAAAAACCAGCACCATTGTATGTAATCGCAAACAAGATTGTCAGCCTACTCCTTTCTTTTCTGTGGACTACAGAGTACATCTTCTTATGTTGTGGAGATGAGGACGGGGGAGGTATTTATAGTCCAAATCTAAAAAGCAGCCCTGGGGTGACAGTACTGCTCTTCGTAGACAGAATGCAGTAAGCGAGTGTTGTCATCTTAGAACAGGAAAAAAAATAGAAAAAAGAATACTAATGCCACCACCGTATCTAAGGACTAATGAGCTGTAAAATATAACATTTTTGTTCTTGGGTTTAGATGCATTTTAAGTAATTCCAATTTTATAAAAATGCAAAATGTTTATGGAGGAAGAGCCTTTTCTGTAATTGGTAATGTGGAGGTATATTTTAGTTTTCTTTATATAAAGAAATCAAATAATAAAAGGTTGTGTTTTTGTTCTAGAAAATTGACATCACCAATAAAGTGGTTGCTGAGCTTCTTTCCAAAACCACGGAATATCTCCAACCCAATCCAGGTAATGATTTATACACAAACCTTTCAGAATCTCATTACATGAAAGTGCTAAATGATAGAAAACTGATTCTAAATCTCCAGCCACACAAAAGCACCTCACCCAATGTTTCATTAAAGAAGGGATTTCACTATATTGAGGCTGGGTTCACACTGGTGCGGAAATTGCAGTGTTTTCTGTGGGAATTGCGCACTGCATCAGAATCGCAACCCCATTCATGCAAACCGATTCGGGTGTGTATGTTAAGTTAACACCCCGAAATCAGTCCGCAAAACGCGGTGCGATGTGCAGAATCGGATCACATAGGTGTGAATACCGATGTGATCCGATTCTAGTGCAGACCCAAAAAAAGGGTCCTGCGCTTTTTTTTGGTGCAGATGCGGTGCGATTTGAGCCAACAAAATGTATGGCTACAATTGCACCACACACAAATCGCATGTGATTTGCACAAGAATGCAGTGCGTTTCCTGTGCGAATCACATGCGATATACCGCACCGCATATATGTGAACCTAGCCCAAACCTTGACATGTAATTGTAGTAATACAATAGGTGTGGGAGCATGCAGAACTCCCAAGGTGAGAAGGATCATTGTTGGAGTGCATTCACTCATGCAGTTTTTTAAAGCCCATCTCCAGGCAAGTAAAAAAGTTTTCCCATGCAGTAGGGTTGTGCCTGCACTGCACGGGTAAACCTCTTGTTTTGTCTAGGAGTGAGGAGAAAGGACATAATCCTCTGATCCTCCGTACTCAAAACCGGTCCAGCACCCCACGCTCCAACAGGCTTGAATTGTGGACTGTTCCGGATGTCATCAAGCCCAGAGCAGGCTCCATAGACCAGGAACAGTCCAGAGCTGGACTGTGGGGAAGAGCCATTCTTCTGTGGAATGAAGGATCAGGCGAGTATAAATGTTCTCCTCAGCCCTAGACAAAAACGAGCAGTTAACCCGTGCAGTGCGAGCACAACCCAATTGCATGTGAAAAAATATTTTCTTGGTTGGAGTTGGGCTTTAACTGAGCTTGGGCACGGTTCACTCCCTTGTTTTGGTCCGTTTGCGTAGTGTGAACCATGCTTGGGTCCACTTAGAAGAGGTGATCCTCGGCACAGTTCATTTGTTTTCCGGTACGGTCCGCTTCAGTGTGAGTGCAAACCGTTTGATAGCAGAACCCTTCAGAGATCACTGAGCACAAAAGCTGGGATCACTGTGGTCTGGTTGGTAGAGGTGATGATTAGAGATGAGCGAATTTTTCAAAAATTCGATTCGGCTGATTCGGCGAATTCCAGGAAGAAATTTGATTCGATGCGAATTAATTCGCTACGAAGTTAACTTATAAAAAGGGTTTCTAGGCTTCAGAGAGCCTTTAAATTAGTGCAGAACACTGTACCTTTAATTTAAATGCCCTTGGAGATGAGGAAGGAGAAGGAGAAGGATGAGAAGAAGGAGAAGGATGAGAAGAAGGAGAAGGAGAAGGATGAGAAGAAGGAGAAGGATGAGAAGAAGGAGAAGGATGAGAAGAAGAAGGATGAGAAGAAGGAGAAGGATGAGAAGAAGGAGAAGGATGAGAAGAAGGAGAAGGATGAGAAGAAGGAGAAGGATGAGAAGAAGGAGAAGGAGAAGAAGGAGAAGGATGAGAAGATGAAGAAGGATGAGAAGGATGAGAAGGATGAGAAGGAGAAGAGAGAAGAAGGAGAAGGATGAGAAGAAGAGAAGGATGAGAAGAAGGATGAGAAGGAGAAGGATGAGAAGAAGGACAGTTCTGTGACAGTTTCTGTCTATTTCTGACAGTTCTGTGACATTCACTCCATACAGCGGTTTCAAACGCTGTATGGAGGGAATGTCCCAGAACTGTCAGAAATAGTCTATTTCTGACAGTTCTGGGACATGTATGGAGTGAATGTCCCAGAACTGTCAGAAATAGTCTATTTCTGACAGTTCTGGGACATTCACTCCATACAGCGGTTTCAACCGCTGTATGGAGGGAATGTCCCAGAACTGTCATAAATAGTCTATTTCTGACAGTTCTGGGACATTCACTCCATACAGCGGTTGAAACATTGTATCTATTTGTTTCCATAAATGGATCCATTTATGGAAACAAATAGATACAATGTTTCAACCGCTGTATGGAGTGAATGTCCCAGAACTGTCAGAAATAGACTATTTATGACAGTTCTGGGACATTCCCTCCATACAGCGGTTTCAACCTACTTCTTCTTCTTCATCCTCATCCTCAGAAGAAGAAGAAGAGGATGAAAATAAGAATAATTCCAAGCCGGCAAAAAGTGTATGTGCAGAGTTCCTCTATTCTGCAGATACACTTAGAGGAGCTCTGCAGATACACTTTTTGCCGGCTTGGAATTATTCTTATTTTCATCCTACTTCTTCTTCTTCTAGGATGAGGATGATGAAGAAGAAGTAGGATGAAAATAAGATTAATTCCAAGTCGGCAAAAAGTGTATCTGCAGAGCTCCTCTATGTGTATCTGCAGAATAGAGGAATGTGAGTACACTTTTTAGATGGAAATCTCAACCAAAGCTAATAGATTTTCAAATAAACAATTGTACAAACATTCCTACGAAAATTTTTATAAAAATTCTGACAACATTTGATGACTTGTACTTCAAAATGTAATTTGCTTTTAACATTCAATTTTGGAACAAATGTACTTTTACTGAACAAAAAAAAACCACGTACACTTAAAAATTCATTCCTTCGAGAAACATTTTCCATCCTGCTGCTTTTGACTTTTCTTGTCACTGACACTTGAAGGCAAATGTCAATTTGATGCCACTAAGCATTAAAAAATTGAGCAAACACTCTTAAAACAAAACTTAAACAAAATTCTACTAGTGTATGGCCATCTCAAATGAAATTCATTGGAGATCGGTACAGTTGATTAAGGGTCCATGCACACTGGCTTAAAAAAATGCTGATTTTGAGCACTTTTTTTTGTACTAGCATTTAGGTGCTTTTAGGGGGTTTTTTACTGTCAGAAAACTGCTCCCAAAAATGCAACCCAGAAGACCTTTTTTTGTGCCTCAAAACGCCGAGCTTAAAATATGCCTCTAATCATCCTAATGTGCATGGACACCTAAGATGGCATTAGTTGCTTCTACAGGCAGAATGCTAAACTCCTTCTAGGAGCGGTTTTTTTTTTGAAGCCTAATGTTACTGATATCTTTGTCCTCTGTAATATGTGACTTCATTGTCTTGTACTACTTTAAAGTGGTAAAACAGGGGCACAAAGATTTAAATATACAGTTTAGTTGCCTCATCTGTATGCATTGGTCACTGTCTAATGAATTTGTTGTTTACCTAAATTACCATCACTAACCTCTCTCTTTTAGATTGTAAGCTCTAGGGAGCAGGGCCCCTGTATTGAATTGTATTGTAACCGTACTGTTTGCCCTCATGTTGTATAGTGCTGCGCATACTGTTGGCGCTATATAAATCATGTATTCTAATAATAATAACCTTAGTATAACATGATAACAAGATTGTGTGACTTAAAGCAAAGTTGTCCCATGAGAAGGTCACAGTGTTGCAGAGCAGACTTTAACTTTTTAATTCAATGTTTCTGTAGCCATGTTAAAAGTGGAGAACAAGTAATTTTGGAACCTGTTATAGAAATCTCTTTTAAGCAAGCCGCATGTGATCTGCGGAGAAACTGCATGGAAGTGTTGGAGCTTTGTCAGAAGATCCAGTGCAAACAGTGCCAAGTGTCTGGATGTTACATAGTGATCTTCAACATGGCACCAGAGGTTTTTTATTAAACGGATAAATTAACATGGAACTCGAGACCAAACTTTTTGAGAATTTTGAGATTTATCATCAAGACAAAAAGTGAGGGGGGAGTCATCCCAAGTGGGGACAGAACAAGAAAACACTTTGTTTTCGTAGAATAGGGAAGAGTTCAAACCTGCCATTGGGTATCGATTGCTAACCATGTCCTTGTAAGGGAGTTCCTCCCCTAACCTCTTTTTCCAGTGACAGGACAGCAAACCAGCAGGTCATACGTGATGCACTTTTCTTTCCTGCAAAAAAACAAAAATTTCCCCCCATCAACACAGTCAGTGTTGATGGGTGAATCACTTCTGTGGAGCTATTGTGGTCTCCTGGCGGGGAGGAACCATCCCTGGCGAGAGAACACAGTGATTACTTCTAGAGGTTACAGCCGCTGGCAATAATCACATGATAAAAATTCGGCAATGCTGGTTTTACCCAAGTTGTACAACAATCAACTTGGGTACAATCATCCTGCCCATAGATGGTTTGAATCTCGGCTGGTTCCTGCTGAACCAGCTGGGATTCGAACCATCTATAGCTGGCTTAACTTGGAGGGCTACAGCCGTATTTTTTATAATGCCATCTCTTTAGTAAGAAGATATGACCTAAATAACAGTTATACTTGAATGAAAAAGTAGTATGGTATACTTTCACTCATTTCTTTTTCAGCATATCGAGCTAGGTTGGGAATGTTAAATACCATGTCAAAAATCAGAGGACAAGTTAAAACCACAGGCTATCCTCAGACCGAAGGTTTACTTGGAGACTCTATGCTACGATATGGCCGAGAACTAGGAGAAGAGTCGGAGTTTGGTGAGTGAAGACTGAGGGATTGATTTGCTAAAGGCAAATAGGCTGTTCATTTGCAATGGAAGTTGAACTTTGCAGGATATGTTTTCCATTGTCCATGCGCTAAACTGCACAAGTGTGAATAGGTTTAGTTTTGCCCAGAGGTGTAACTGAGACTTTGTCTCCTATTTTTCATTAAAATTGTAAACTATTTTGGAATCACATGGAATAGTAGAAAAAGGGAAATGAGCTGTGAAGACTTTCCTTAAAGTATAACTAAAAGCAAAACTTTTTTTTTTTTTTTTTTGTAGTTTAGGATAGAGTGTAGGGGAATAAGAGGGATAACCCCTGTCAGGTTTTTATTGCAAACTATGCCCCTATTAGGGAGATTCATCCTCTCTATTTGTCCCGTGTACCATTATCATCAAAGGTGAAAGAAACCCCAAATTTAGAGCAATAGAGGAGACATTTTCCAATGGGGGGCTATTTCTGGTGACCTGGGGTCCCCAAGGAATTCTCATAATCTGCAGGGATTTTCTCACTGTTTTGGTTGGAAAGGAAGTGAAGATAAATCTCCCAATCGGACACAGATGGCAAAAAATAAACTGACAAGGGTACCCCCCAACACACACACACACACACACACACACACTCACACACACACACACCCACCTATTCTATCTGAAATGGAGAAAAAAGTTTTGGCCATAGTTCTATTTTAATCGTACAATACAAGAAGACAAGCTTCCATTAATCATGTCCATGGGTTTTGTACTGCCACCTTCAGGTGAGTGCACTGACAAACAAAGCTGCTAGGACAGTTGTTAGGTGATAGCTGATTGTCCTCTACACTCTTTAGAGGACCACTTTGTACCCTCTGCAGCCTTGGTTCCTTGTCTTTGAGTGGCCTTATCATTGAAATGTACATGAATCATCTGAGCACATGACGGCATCACTTCTTTTTTTCTTTTTTTTTCCCATAAATGAAAATACACTATTGTTTAGCTCCCCTGTGTGACCTAATAGCGTGACAAAATAATCACATGCTCTCTGAGCTTACATGAGTATTGTGGGTCTCATACTACTGTGAGCTCTGTAGTCAAAGTGGTTGTAAACCCTTACATTTACCCAGTGAAGTGACTGGCCTCAGGTCATACACAGAGATGAAACAAATCCTCCTACATGAGTTGTACCTGCAGTCTTCTCTTTACATTCATTACAAGTGCTACATTTATAAAGCCTGTCTGAGTTTGCAGAAATTAGGAGGCAGGGATCTGAAGTTACACTCTGTAGAGCTGAGTGAGAAGAGTTCTGAGAGCTGATTGGAGGGAAGAGACACACCCCTCCCACACAGGAACAGAGCTGAGGCTTTAAGTCTGCTGGAGATCCCTCCCCAGTCACCATTTTTCTGTTGGTGTCAGGAAAAGATTTCAGAAGTCATTCATGCTGATAGCAGAAGAATGAAGCAGCAGACAGAAATGACACTTAGTGCTCTGGATTGAGACAAGTACACACTATAAAAGGAAATGCTTTGTTCATGTTTCATATCTGAGGTTTATAACAACTTTAATATCTCTCAGTAAGACTGACCCTGCCTAGTGTACTTGTGTTGAGTTTGGAGGATCATCAAGGCACAATCACTGTGCTCCTCAAGTAACCAAAAAGCAGAACCTGCATTAGCATCAAATACGGCTGCCCTTGTGTACATATATATTTACAAGTTCCAAATTACAGGCGTACCTTGGTTTACAAATTTAATGCGTTCTGCGGGACTTTTCGTATTGCGAAAAAAATTCATAAACCGAAACGCGGTCTCCCATAGGAATGCATTGAAAACCAATTAATCCGTTCCGGAGGTCAGAGAAAAGTAAAAAAAAAAAAAAAAAAAAGTCTTATCTGTTCAAAACTCTTTATGAAGTGCACTTTAACCAGTTGCCGACCGCAGATAGCCAAATGACGGCTGCACCGCGGCCGGCCAGTTCTGGGAGGGCGTCATATGACGTCCTCCCAGAACGCGCTCGCCTGCGCGCCACCGGGGGCGCGCACCCAGCGATATCTGTGATCGTTGTGTCCTACGGACAGAGCTGATCACGTGATGTGGTAAAACGCCAATCACAGCGGCCTTTTACCACGTGATCAGCCGTGTCCAATGACACACTGATCACAGGGAAATGATTGCCGGTTCTTGGCTGCACTTTCCTCACGCTGTCAGATCGTGAGGAAAGTACTGCCGAGAACCGGCAGTTGTTAGAGCGGGGATCGGCACCGATCATCAGGGCACGGATGATCAGTGCCCTGATGATTGGTGCTCAGCAGTGCCACCCACAAGTTCCAACCACCTGTGCCCAGCAGTGCCCACCAGTGCCACCCAGCAGTGCCACCCACCTGTGCCCAGTAGTGCCATCCAGAAGTGCCACCCACCTGTGCCCATCAGTGCCACCCACCTGTGCCCACCAGTGCCCATCAGTGCAGCCCAGCAGGGCTGCCAGTCAGTGCCCAGCGGTTGCGCCAGTCAGTGCCTAACAGTTCTGCCAGTCAATACCTAGCAGTGCCGCCAGTCAGTGCCCAGCAGTGATGCCAGTCAGTGCCACCTATCAGTGCTGTCTATCCGTGCCACCTCATTAGTGCTGCCTATCAGTGCCGCCTATCAATGCCTATCAGTGCCACCTATCATTGCTCCCATCAGTGCTACCTATCAGTGCCCATCAGTGCTGCCTCATCAACGCACATCAGTGAAGGAGAAAAATTACCTGTTTGCAAAATTTATAATAGAAACAAAGAAACTTTTTTTTTTTTTTCAAATTTCTTGCACTTTTTTTGTTTATAGCACAAAAAGTAAAAAACCCAGCGACGAGTAAATACGACCAAAAGAAAGCTCTATTTGTGGAAAAAAAAATGATAAAAATTTCATATGGGTACAATCTTGCATAACCGTGCAATTGTCAATCAAAATGCGAAAGCGCTGTAAGCTGAAAATTGGCCTGGTAAAGGAGGTATAAGTGCCCGGTAGGCAAGTGGTTAAAGGCATAGTACTGTACAGGGACATGATTAAAAATGAATTAGTAAATGCATTGAAAACCAATTAATCCATTCCAGAGGTCAGAAAAAAAGTCAAAAAAAAGTCTTCTGTTCAAAACTCTTTATAAAGAGCAGTTTAAAGGCATAGTACTGTATAGGGACATGATGATTATTATTATTATTATTATACAGTATTTATAAAGCACCAATGGTTCGCTCAGCGCTGTACATTACAATGGGAGACAGAACATGTGACAGAACAATACCAATACAGTGCAAAACATGAGGGGATTGAGGGCCCTGCTCTTTCGAGCTTACAATCTAGGAGGGAGGGGATAGTGGCACAGGAGGAGATAGCTGTGGGGGATGGAGTGGTAGGAAGAGTGGAGGAGGTCGGCAAGTTAGCAGGGGGTGGGGTAGGCTTCCCTAAAGAGGTGGGTTTTCAGGGTGCGCCTAAAGGAGAGGAGAGTAGGTGATAATCTGATTGGTTGGGGCAGGGAGTTCCAGAGGATGGGTGACACCCTGGAGAAGTCCTGGAGGCGGGCATGGGAGGAGGAGACCAGGGAACTAGAGAGAAGGAGGTCTTGTGAGGAGCGGAATGTGCGTGCTGGGTGGTACTTGATTTAAAAAAAATCGTAAATGCATTGAAAACCAATTAATCTTAATCTGTTCGTATTGCGGAAAAAATTTGTAAACTGAGGCATTATTTTCAATGGATTTTTATTCGGAAACCGAAAAATTACATTAACCGAGGCGTTCGTAAACTGAGGTATGCCTGTATATAGAAAACCATTAATACACATTAGAATAATCTTTAACACGTCAAAAAGGCACTAAAGTGTCTAAAATTCCCCTTTAATAGCTTGAGCGGTGTAGACCAGAGTCATATTGTAATAATATAAACTTGTGAGCTACTATGGTGGTATATAGATACTTATAAATAATTAACTCCTATAAATGTGACGGTGCATCAACACAAAAACACATACTCATAATATTATGTGAAAATGAATAAATAAAATATTAAATGTGTCGCGCTCCTCAATATTATTTAGTAGTGAATAGTGTATAAATATAAAAAAAATAAATAATAAAAAATAAATAAAATTTAAATAATTCTAAATGGATCCATAGTGATAAAATTTTTAAAAACCCCTGGTGTTATATTTAATTACCATACAAATAAAATAGTGTGAAAAAAGCTGATAAATTCAGATTATATGGACACAATATTAATTAAATCAGGTAAACTAAAAAAAAAAAACCCATACGTAGTGGTATATTATGTGCAAAACTTATATGTGCAAAAAATGCAAAAATATTTCATAAAACAGTGAAGAAAAAAAAAAAAAAAAAAAAATATAAATATATATATATATATATATATATATATATATATATAAAACCGTATACTAATTCATATAAAAAATTGATAAATCAAAAATGATAAATAAATAATAATAAAAAAAATTAATAAGACAATACAAATAATATAGTTTGCTCACTCTCACTTGTGCAGCCAAAAAAAAAAGTAATGAGAGCTATATACTAGTTATCGTTAACTCAGGTGACAAATGATTGTCCCAAACGTGGAAAATGTATTGCTGTTGAGGTAGATTGTAATATTCCTTTCCTTCCACTAGATGGCCTTTTCTTCTGTGTTATAAGGGTTGGATAGATGGAAGTAGTGATATCTCCCCTCGTCCTATTAAAGACTATCTCCTTTATCCTCTTCTTCCCTTTTGCTCCTCCAATTTAGTCCATGTAAAAGAAAGATTCCCACATAGTGCTTTATCCTTCATATAGAATTTCATGTGTCTCCAGCCAAATGCAAACTTACATTTTCACAGGGTAATACAGAGCGTTTTGAAAATGTGTGTGCCCTCGCACAGTGACAGTACTCGCCGTTCCGTTGTTGGTGGCGTCGTGACGTCAGAGGAGGAAAATGTAATACATTTGTAATACATTTTCCACGTTTGGGACAATCATTTGTCACCTGAGTTAACGATAACTAGTATATAGCTCTCATTACTATTTTTTTGGCTGCACAAGTGAGAGTGAGCAAACTATATTATTTGTATTGTCTTATTAATATTTTTTATTATTATTTATTTATCATTTTTGATTTATCAATTTTTATATGAATTAGTATACTGTTTTTTTATTTTATATATATATATATATATATATTATATATATATATATAATTTTTTTTTTTTTTTTCTTCACTGTTTTATGAAATATTTTTGCATTTTTTGCACATATAAGTTTTGCACATAATATACCACTACGTATGGGGGTTTTTTAGTTTACCTGATTTAATTAATATTGTGTCCATATAATCTGAATTTATCAGCTTTTTTCACACTATCTATTTTATTTGTATGGTTAATTAAATATAACACCAGGGGTTTTTAAATTTTATCACTATGGATCCATTTAGAATTATTTAAATTTTATTTTTTATTTATTATTTATTAATTTTATATTTATACACTATTCACTACTAAATAATATTGAGGAGCGCGACACATTTAATATTTTATGTAGACCAGAGTCATACAATTGCTAAGTTCAGCAGTACATACTCTACATGAAATGTTCGACTATGGTTTGTCTCTAAATGAGTTCTTTGTGGCCTGTGCATTTTGTCAATAAACTCTCCATTTATACCAGGCAGTGCTTTGTTGGATGTTGGGGAATGTATGAAGCAAATGGCTGAGGTGAAGGATTCTCTAGATATTAACGTCAAGCAGAACTTTATTGATCCACTACAGTCCTTACAAGACAAAGACTTAAAAGAGATTGTGGTAAGCATTCACCATTTTCCATCTATTGCACAGCTTGAGAAGAATTGCAGCAATATTTCTAAAATCTAGCATTGAGGAATTGCGCCATGTTCAGTGTGCTATGTGCAGATGAGATTTATTCCAGAATGAGTAATTTTCTAATATCTGTTCAGCCAGGAAATTGCTTTCCTTAGTTCCCCAGATGGCATGTGTTTACCTGGATTATTGATGGTTAGGACACAGCTGTTTCCTGTACTTCCATCATGTCCCTTTCTAGTTCCACGATGATCACTGAACATAGAATTTTCTGTGTACATGTATTGCTCAGGTGGCATAAGCAGGACCTGAACTTAAAGCTGACTTCTAGGTATGACCTTCATTGTATAGTTACATTGGTCTAGTTTTGGGCCATTGGAAGTATACAGCAGTGCTGCTGTCTTCTGGATGCTGTGCGGAGTAGATTTTTTGCTGATCACTCACCATTGCTTCCATTCACAGAACTCCTTCTATTTCTTTTCATTGACTACAAGGCGTTGCCTGATTGTATGAGGTGGAGATCATGATATCACCAACCCACCTTTCCACCTGGCCCAATCAGAGTATGCCACGTCTCGCTCTCTCTCGCCCGTCTCGCTCTCTCTCTCTCTTGTCTCTCTCTCCCGCCTCTCTCTCTCTCTCTCTCTCGCCCGTCTCTCTCTCGTCTCTTGCTGTCTCTCTCGCCTCTCTCTCGCTCTCTCTCTCGCCCATCTCTCGCTCTCTCTCTCTCGCTGTCTCTCTCTCTCGCCCGTCTCTCGCTGTCTCTCTCTCTTCGCTGTCTCTCTCTCATCTCTTTTTTGCCTGTCTCTCTCTCTCTCTCTTGCTCTCTCTCGCCCGTCTCGCTTTCGCCCGTCTCTCTCGCTCTTGCTCGTCCCGTCTCTCTCTCTTCCCCTCTCTCGCCTCGCCCATCTCTCTCTCTCTCCCTGTCTCTTGCTCTCTCTCGCCCGTCTCTCTCTCGTCTCTTTCTTGCCTCTCTCGCTCTCTCTCGCCCGTCTCTCTTGCTGTCTCTCTCTCTTGCTGTCTCTCTCTCTTGCTGTCTCTCTCTCGTCTCTCTCTCTCCCTCTCTCTCTCTCTCTCACAGCCTTTCTCTCTCTCTCTCTCTCTCTCTCTCTCTCTCTCTCTCTCGCCTGTCTCTTTCTTTTGTCTCTCTCTCTCTCTCTCGTCCGTCTCTCTTCTCTCTCTCGCCCTTCTCGTCTCTCTCTCTCTCGCTCTCTCTCTCTCGTCTCTCTCTCTCGCCTGTATCTCTCTCTCTCTGCCTGTCTTTCTCTCTCTCTCTCTCTCTCTCCCTCTCTCCTTCGCCTTCTCTCTCTCTCTCTCTCTCTCTCTCTCTCTCGCCTGTCTCTCTCTCTCTCGCTCCTCTCTCTCTCTCTCTCTCCTCTCTCTCTCGTCTCTCTCTCTCTCTCTCTTTCTTCTCTCTCTCTCTCTCTCGCCTGTCCCTCTCTCTCTCTCTCTCTCGCCTCTCTCTCTCTCTCTCTCTGTCCCTCTCTCTCTCTCTCTCTCTCTCTCTCTCCTTCTCTCCTCTCTCTCTCTCTCTCTGTCCCTCTCTCTCTCTCTCTCGCCTGTCCTCTCTCCTCTCTCTCTCCCTCTCTCTCTCTCTCTCCTGTCTCCTCTCTCTCTCTCGCCTGTCCCTCTCTCTCTCTCGCCTGTCTCTCTCTCTCTCTCCCTTTCTCTCGCCTGCTCTCTCTCTCTCTCTCTCGCCTGTCTCTCTCTCTCTCTCTCTCTCTCTCGCCTGTCCTGTCCCCTCTCTCTCTCTCTCTCTCGCCTGTCCCTCTCTCTCTCTCTCTCGCCTGTCCCTCTCTCTCTCTCTCGCCTGTCCCTCTCTCTCTCTCTCTCGCCTGTCCCTCTCTCTCTCTCTCTCGCCTGTCCCTCTCTCTCTCTCTCTCGCCTGTCCCTCTCTCTCTCCTGTCTCTCTCTCTCTCTCTCGCCTGTGTCTCTCTCTCTCTCTCTCTCTCTCTCTCGCCTGTCTCTCTCTCTCTCTCTCTCGTCTGTCTCTCTCTCTCTCTCTCTCTCTCTCTCTCTCTCTCTCGCCTGTCTCTCTCTCGCCTCTCTCTCTCTCTCTTTTTCGCCAAGTGTCTCTCTCCTCTCTCATCTTTTTGTTCATCATTGAACTCGCTGGTTGAATGAAAAAAAAAATCTGTGGTCAACTTAACTCTGCAATTCTCAACAATCTTGGCCTCCCAGCCACTCTAAATCCTTGATAATGCTCCACCAAAGCCCTGCTCAGGTGTGTATCTATTTAAAATGTCAGGTATTATTCATTGGTGCTTGACCATTGTTGTGTTACTTTTTCTTCCCCTCCCAATCTTTTCTTTTTTCTTTACATTGTTAACATTTAATGAGTAAATCATTGTATTTCACTGAATCTGTATCCCATAAAATGAAATATCTCCAGGTAGTCATTGCTCCCAGTACTGGTGGTTAATAACCATCAATTGACTAAACTGAATGCACTCATCCAGCTACCTTTTACACTTCCATATCTTCAGATATCACATTCCATCTGCAGGCTAAAATCTTTTCACCTGTTATGTTAAGCTCTGAGATTTGTATCATTTTAATGAACTGTTTCCTTCTCTCAGTATCACCTGAAAAAGCTAGAAGGCCGCCGCTTAGACTACGATTATAAAAAGAAGCGACAAGGGAAAATTGCGGATGAAGAAATCCGACAAGCAGTGGAGAAATTTGAGGAATCTAAAGAACTAGCGGAGAGGAGCATGTTCAACTTTCTAGAAAATGATGTACGTATGTAGCTGCTTTGGGTGGGACACATGTCTGCACTGCCAGAAGGAAAATGTGCTTTGTATTACTTCATAATGGTTTAACTTCAATTTGCAGCAACCCAATGAAAACCCAGTCATCATATACAGCTCAGTATGAAGATCCGTGACAGTGGGGTGAAAAACTAGTCAAGTCTATGAATGTGTTAACAAAATAGGAATTGGGAAGAAAATGCAATGTATAAATAGAGTATTTTGTTAAATTTTGTCTTACTTTTCCTTTTAGTAACCGTAATATATTAAAAGAAAAGTGTGGCCAAAACTTTTTTGGCCATACTTTTCTGGGTTACAGGAGTGCATTTACTTATGTTCTCCTGTGACCCAGAATCAGCAGGCTAAAGCCCGCTATTATCTGATGTCAGAGGCACTCCAGGCAGCCAAAATTGTCAGGATCTACCCAGATGCCTGTTCAGCAGCAGGTTCAGCCAATCAGCCTACTGCTGATATCCAGAGCCGGCTGCTCCTGCTTCCTCCCCAGCCCGACGCTCCAGTGAGCAGGGGAGGGGTAAAGTGGAGAGCCAGCGACTGACAGTCACAGCTCTTTGCTTAGAGCTGACCGAGAACTGAGCGAGCAGTATTCATGTGTTCGCTCAGTTCTTGGGCTTAGAGCCAGTGGGATTTTCAAATCCCACATTTTCTCTTTTAAATAATTACTATTCACTTGTACAACCCCAATTCCAAAAAAGTTGGGATGATGTTTAAAATCTACATAAAAACAGAATGCAGTGATATGCAGATCTCACAAATCCATATTTTATTCACAATAGAAAGAAAAAAATAAGATAAAAAGGCTCTTTAGTGAGCCTTTTTAGAGCCTTTTTTGCTCTGTTTATTAACCTCTTCCCGTCTGGCCCATGTCGATGAACGGCCGGACGGGAGTGCTGCCGATGCAGGTGGACGTTTCTAAACTTCCCCCTGCATCCATTGCCTGTGCACGTTCCCCAGGAGCGCGGGCACCGCGATTGGTGCCAGCTGTGTCCGGAGGACACAGCATCCCAACTTTTTTTCCGAAGGACACAGCGGAACACTGTACGGGACCTCTGTGTGAGGTCCCGATTCACGTGATCATTGATTGGCCAATCAGTGATCACATGAACAGTAGTGAACAAGATGTCACTTCCAGACATCATTGCTTACTACTTGTGAAATCTGTGAATGATCACAGAGGTCACATGGTACAAGGCTATTCACAACAGCCATGTAGCGCGTGACAAGCTGTGACCAATCACAGCTCACACAGTATTTCTCAGTGGCTGCAGGAATGCAGCCAGAGAGAAGGAGAAATTATTGCTTTTACAGCCTTTATGGGTATAAAAGCAATCAGTGTAAAAAAAGAAAAAAAAAAAATTCTTCATCACCGACCACAAGTAGTACAGTGTCACTATGGTGACACTGTACTGCTAGGGTGACAGTATATCTAAAAAAAAAAAAATAAAACCATAATTTTTGGTTATAAACTAATTTGGGTTATTTTTTTTTTTTACTAAAAGAGATAGATGAATACATTTTGGCCAAGATTTATGAAGATTATTTGCAAAATTGTATAGGAAAAACACTTTTTTTCCCAACATTTTTGGTCTTTTTCATTTACATAGCAAAAAAAATAAAAATCCCAGTGGTGAATAAATACCACCAAAAGAAAGCTCTGTCTCAACAAAATGCTAAAAATTTCATACGAGTACAGTGTTGTATGACCGCGCAATTGTCATTCAAAATGTGATCGCACTGAAAGCTGAAAATGTTTTTTGTTAAATAACAAACATGTCATCTTTACCTGCTCTGTGCAGTGGTTTTGCACAGAGCAGCCCCAATCCTCTTCTCGGGTCCTCCACCGGTGCTCCTGGCCCCTTCCCGAGTGCCCCTATAGCAAGCAGCTTGCTTTCAGGGTACTTGTGCTTGCTCGCTCCTGAGTTGGCTCTGCCAATGGCTGCTGCTGCTGTATGTGCGCCAATGAGGAGGGAGAGAGCCTCTGCTCTCGTACCAGTGCTGGATTGAGATCTGCTCAGGTAAGTATTCAGGGGGGCTAAGGGGGAAAGTCGCATGCAGAAGGTTTTTTTTTTTACCCCCATGCGGAGAATGAAAACTTCTGCCTTTACGACCACTTTAACTCTTCACACAGCCGCCATTAAGAGTGCCTGTATTTTATGTTATTTTTTTTTTTTGTTTTTTTTTATGATTGTCAGTGCCATCTAGTGGTCATAACACAGTATTTTCTTGAAATAATTGCAAAAATTCAGTAATATAGCCATTAGCTGGAGCTAACCATCATAAGAAATAAACCTATTAGAAAAAAAAAACAGATTAATTGTGATGGCTGTGGGAATGCTTAAGACATTTGCACTGCAACTGTTTTTATAACTAGAACCCTTTGTTTGAAGGATTCTGCCAAAATGTACTTTCACAAATATATACCCCTTACCACACAAGTTACAGCAGAATTGCATAGCCATAAGAGGTCATGAACAGAGCTGGGGCCAGGACTATTATTATTATACAGGATTTATATAGCGCCAACAGTTTGCTCAGCGCTTTACAATATAACGGGAGACAATACAGCAACAATACAGTTCAATACAAGCGGGAAAGGAGGGCCCTGCTCCTTGGCGCTTACATTCCAGGAGGGAGGGGCTAGTGGTACAAAAAGTAATAATGAGATGTGGGGGATGGATGGTAGGAGGAATAGAAGATTCCATTATTAGCTGAGGGCAGGATAGGCTTCCCTGAAGAGAGGTTTTTGGAGATCGCCTAAAAGTGAGCAGAGTAGGCGATAGTCTGATAAATTGGGGTAGAGAGTCCCAGAGGATGGGGGAAGCTCTGGAGAAGTCCTGGACTAATGTATTTTTCACTATGCGCTATAAAATGATGCAGAATATACTGATATTGTACAAATAAGTAATAAATGGTTGGCATATTTTGAACCATATTACTGTAGCTTCCCATAATTAAAGTCTAAAGGCAGATATAATGGAGCATAATAAAGTAACTCATCCTATAGTATTAAAAATAATACTAAAGATTGTGGCTGGAAAGAGATGCACAAATCGGAAACAGGTATCATGTTTCTTGATTACCCATCTCTGTGCACACTGCTATTGGCTCCTTAGCGCACCACACCCAACTCTCCGGGACACTCCTTGCCCTCCTGCATGCTGCTTACAGCTCCCATGCACACTTACCCCAATTCCAATACACAGCGGCAGTATTGTGGCCAGGAGACCCAGGCCCTCCCTGTATCCCTGAAGTTCCGTCTCACCCTCATGTCTGCCATCGCCCAGAGACAGATGTGGGAATGTCTGCCCTCTACCAGAGCCAGTGAGTACAGCAGCCCAAGCTAGAGGGAGTTGCTACTGCTACCCCGGCTGCTCTGTGTGGTGCTGCCCCTTATTTCTGCTGCTGCTGCTGTCTGAATATCTGGTTGCTGAGGGTCATCAGCTTGGTAGGCACAGCTGGTTGTAGCAGCGGTGGCTGGTTCTTGGGTTGCAGTGTGGTCGGATAGAGTCAACACACAGAAAACACATAGCAATAGAGGGGAGATCAGGACCAATGAGGAACTATGCAAATCACAGGGGCAAGTTCTGAACAGGAGTGATGGGGGGGAGTGCTGGAAGATGGACCTAAAGTGAGCAGAACAAGGCTACAGGAGATAAAAGAGCCGACAACCTCTGGCAACCCACTATACTCTGATGAGAGCACTTCTATACCCCTGACCATCTCACAATTACTGTGCTTATCTGTCACCCACCTCGTCCCCCTTATGTCTACCATCAACAGCCCCCCCACTCACACTGCATTCCTCCCTGGATACCTTGCCCCCACTTAAATGTCACCACTCCCTAGCTAACCTACCCCTTCCTACCCACTTCACCTCCTGGAAAGAACATCCCTCTTTGGACACTTCACCCCCCAACAACACCTCATAAGGTATCTCTCCCTAAACTCTGGTCACAGCACATCCCTCGCCAGCCACCACACTCTCCCCTCAAAATGAATTCCTCTCTGGTCACCTCATGCTGAAAATGCATTTGTCCCCCCCACCACCTCACGTATAACCCCCCAGACAGTGCATTCAGGTTTTGCTGCTTTCACATACAGTGAAGGAAATAAGTACTTGATCCCCTGCTGATTTTGAATGTTTGCCCACTGAAAATTCAAATTAAATGCATGTCTAACAAATGATGCACTGATTTGCATATTCATGAGGGAAATAAGTATTTGATCCCCTATCATTCAGCAGGATTTCTGGCTACCAGGTGTCTTTCATACAGGTAACATGCTGAGATTAGAAGCAGTCTCTTAAAGGGAGTGCTGCTAATCTCATTTTGTTACCTGTATAAAAGACACCTGTCCACAGGAGCAATCAAACAATCAGATTCCAAACTCTCCACCATGGCAAAGACCAAGAGCTGTCAAAGGATGTCAGGGACAAGATTGTAGACCTACACAAGGCTGGACTGGGCTACAAAACTATCACCAAGCAGCTTGGTGAGAAGGTGACAACAGTTGGTGCAATTATTCGCAAATGGAAGAAACACAAAACAACTGTCAGTCTCCATAGGTCTGGTGCACCATGCAAGATCTCACCTCATGAAGTGTCAATGATCCTGAGAACAGTGAGGAATCATCCCAGAACTACACGTGAGGATCTTGTCAATGATCTCCAGGCAGCTGGGACCACAGTCACCAAGAAAACAATTGGTAACACACTACGCCAAGGATTGAAATCCTGCAGTGCCCGCAAGGTCCCTCTGCTCAAGAAAGAACATGTCCAGGCCCGTCTAAAGTTTGCCACTGAACATCTGAATGATGCAGAGGAGGACTGGTTGAAAGTGTTGTGGTCAGATGAAACCAAAATTGAGCTCTTTGGCATCAACTCAACTCGTGTTTGGATGAGGAGGAATGCTGCCTATGACCCCAAGAACACCATCCCAACTGTCAAACATGGTGGTGGAAACATTCTGCTTAGGGGGTGTTTTTCTGCTAAGAGGACAGGACAACTGCACCGCATCAAAGGGATGATGGACGAGGCAATGTACCCCCAAATCTTGGGTGAGAACCTTCTTCCCTCAGTCAGGGTATTGAAAATGGGTTGTGGATGGGTGTTCCAGCATGACAATGACCCAAAGCACACGGCCAAGGCAACAAAGGAGTGGCTCAAGAAGAAGCACATTAAGGTCCTGGAGTGGCCTAGCCAGTTTCCAGACCTTAATCTGTTTGAAAATCTGTGGAGGGAACTGAAAGTTCGAGTTGCCAAACATCAGCCACCAAACCTTAATGACTTGGAGAGGATCTGCCAAGAGCAGTGGGCCAAAATCCCTCCTGAGATGTGTGCAAACCTGGTGGTCAACTATAGGAAACGTCTGACCTCTGTGATTGCCAACAAGGGATTTGCCACCAAGTACTAAGTCATGTTTTGTGAAGGGGATCAAATACTTATTTCCCTCATGAACATGCAAATCAGTGCATCATTTGTTAGACATGCATTTCTTTTGATTTTTTTGTTGCTATTCTGTTTCTCAGTGTTACATTACGCCTACCATTCGATTTTTAGACTGATCATTTCTTTGTGAGTGGGCAAACATTTAAAATTAACAAGGGATCAAATACTTATTTCCTTCCGTGTATGTGGCAGGGAACCTACTAACAGGAGGAGAGACCAGAGCAAGAAAAGAGAACAATTAAACAATCTGTTAACGTCTCTTCACTGTCCAGTCACATTCTGGGAGCAGGTGACTTATCTGTATTGCTTAAAGTATAAACACAAGGGACATTACTTCCCTTCATAGAGATACTGTATGTCCCTTGTTCTGCTGTGTCCTGGTTTAGTGGAAATCGTCCTCCTCTGGTACACCCCCAATAGATCTAAGAAAGCTTCATCAAGAGTGCCTGACTGTGCCCACCCTTTGTGCCCAGCTTTGCTTTTCATATCCCTTACAACAGCTTCTCTAAAAAAGTGGTCTATGAATGCTGCTTCATTCATTGGAGCTATAGTATGGTGGAGCTGAAAGGGATGATGGGTCCTTGTTTAGCAGAAGTTTTCTTACTCCAGTGACCTCTACAGCACAAGGGACATATCTTCCCCTAAAGGTAAGTATGTGTGTATATAATATATATATATATTTCTATATATATATCATTTTTATTTTTTTTTTTTTAAGTGGAGTTCCACCCAAAGGGGGAGGAATTATCCCGTTAGGAATTGGCACCTTAGGGGAGATGAGGGGTGGGTGGCAAGTGAGTGAGTACTCAATTCTGACAGGTTTCCGATCCAACCGCCTAGTTGATTAGCAGCGGAAGTTCTTCCTTCCGCATACATAATAATTGGCTAATTACAGCACATGAAAATTAATAGCATGCCCTGTATTCCTGATGGATCTTGATGGAAAGGTCAGGGGAGGGGGCATAGTCGGGGGTGGGAGGGGGAATATTTTAGCTCGGGTTTAGAAAGATTGAGTTTGATTAAATGCTGTGACATCCAGACTGATGTGTCAGTAAGTTTGTAATTTGAGAGGAGACCGAATGGAACGAGATTTTACATTTTAGTTACAGGTTGATATTAAAGGCTAAGCACACCTTTCAAAAATAATAAATACACATATTTTACATTCTGAAATTTCCAGCGATTGTATAGTAATGTGCAGCCCACCTCCTTCCTTCCGCATACATAATAATTGGCTGATTACATCACATGTGCATTAATAACATGACCTGTATTCATATGGATGAGCTTATTAGGGTGTGCTTATTTATTATCATCTCAGTCAGCCAAAAAGAACCTAATCCACATAGAAACGAGTTGAATTTGAATATGTTTTTAAACCCTTGTCCAGAAGTAGGTCTTAGGCCCCATGTACACGGGACACTTCTGAACAATGGAAACTGACTGCTGGAAAATGGTAGGTTAAAAAATGTCTGTTTAGCCGCGTTTGCATACCGCATTTATGTGCGTTTGCGTTTAGAAGCGTTTTTTAAAACATAAGTACAGAAAAATCTCCCAAATGCCCAGAATGCACTGAAAAGTGGTAAATTATTAACTATTTCAGACTGTTTCAGAGAAATACAGAGAGCAGAAGCAGAGACAGCAGTATGTGATGAGATTACTTAGGTGGGAGTTGCTCATTAACATTTCTTTTGTTTCCAAGGGTGGGAAGGTGTCTGGTGGAGGAGTCATTAAGGTCACCTGGCAGGGAGTCTTCATGAGGAAGTTGAGGTGTGAATGGTCATTAACATATCTTTTGTTTCCAAGGGTGGGAGAGGTCTGAGGTGTGAATTGGTCATTACAATGTGTGACAAGCTTGGTAGGAACATCCTGTGTTCAGTGTTTTATCCATCTGAGTACCCTGAAAACACTTTCCATGCATTTTTCATGATGAAAAAAGGCTCTGGACAGCATCGGGAACTGGCAGAGTTAAAAAAAAAAATTCCAAATGCAAGCTCTTATAAATGCAAATTGCTGCGTTTACAAGCATTTGGCATTTGAAACACTGATAAAATCGACTGCTGAACGCAAGTTTTTTGCGTTCAAAAAAACAACTGTAAACTCAAATCCCTGTAAACGACTGTAAACGAAGATGTGTACATGGACACATAGGAAAACATTAGGGTGAGTTCAGGGGCTGCTGAAAAAAACGCAGAACAGCTCCTAAACGTGAGTTTATCAGCTGCAGTGTACATGAGCCCTTAGACACATTAGTTCAATATAATGATCAATTAGATAAATGTGTAGAGAATGTTTACTTCCAGTACTTCAATGAGAAAGGAACTAAACATTGCCCCCTTATGGACATTCTTTGAAGTGCTTTATCAGTTCACCTAAACTTTTATTATTACTATTATTATTATTATAATATAGGATTTATATAGCGCCAACATTTTTCACAGAGCTTTACATTATAAAGGGTGTCAGTACAGTTACATTAAAAAAAAAATTAAGAGGGTTAGGAGGGCCCTGCTCCTGAGTGCTTATGATCTAATAGGGAGGGGCAAGTGGAACAAAAGGTAATACCTGTGAGGGATGAGTGGATTTGAGAATTATAGGTTCAGTTGTTAGGTGAAGATAGGATAGGCTTCCCTGAAGAGAAGAATTTTCAGGGCTTGCCTGAAAGTGGACAGAGTAGGAGATAGCTGGACAAATTGGGGTAGGGAGTTACAGAGGATGGGAGAAGTTCTGGAGATGAGCATAGGAGGAGAAGCCAGGGAGCTAGAAAGCAGGGGGTCTTGGAAGGGGCAGAGAGGATGGTTTGAGTGATATATTGAGAACAAGGAGGGATGGGCTGATATTTGATCTTGATGAAAAGTCAGGGGACGGGGCATAGTCGGGGGTGGGAGAGGGAATATTTTAAGCTCAATTTTAGAAAGCCTGAGTTGGAGGAAGTGCTGTGACATTCAGATCGATGTGTTAGTTGGAAAGTTTGTAATTTGAGAGGAGCTTGAAAGGGTTCTAGTTGCAGGCTGATATTAATGGCTAAGCACACCTTTCAAAAATAATAAATACACATATTTTGCAATTTGAAGAGCAATGCACCCGCAATCAGCAGATTGTAGGTTTAGTGTCAGGCTCCCGCACAGTCTTCCTCTAGCTCACAGGTGTCAAACTCCAGCTGTTGCCAAACTACAAGTCCCATGAGGCATTGCAAGATTGACAGTTACAAGCATGACTCACAAAGGCAGAGGCATGATGGGACTTGTAGTTTAACAGCTGGAGGGCTGCCAGTTTGACACCCCTGCTATGCCTGTATCCCCATATGGGCTTTCAGTTACAAAGCTAGAGGAAGAATAAATGAACTACGAAGATGCTGAGCAACTCACCTGCAGCCCATTCAAACTACAAGTACGTCTGCCACAGTGGCAGATGGTGCTTGTAGTTTTTTTCATTCACAGAAATCTGTGAAAGAATGACATGGCTGTGCGGGCGGAGCCCCACACAGCTTCCTGGTTTTCAAAAAATGACAGCAGAAGAGGGGAGTGCTGATGGCGGGTGGTGGGTGCATAATAGCATGCTACCTGTTACACCCTAAATATGGGTGTAACAGGTAACATTCTCCCAGAGGTGAACTTATTTTTTACCACTGATGGAAATTTAACTGCAGTCTGGAATTTGTTGTAATCTGAAATATAATCAACTTTGCTCAGCCTATAGAACTTCAACACGGCACACTCTCATTGCTGGATTATGCTTGAAGTCCAGAGTGCAAGGGAAATCATTGCTCCTGTCTCATTGGCCACTGTATGTCTCTGTATTGCAGATTGAACAAGTTAGTCAGCTGGCTGTATTTGCAGAGGCTGCATTGGACTACCACAGACAGTCAGCTGAGATCCTGGAGGACCTCCACAGCAGGTTGCACAACAGGTGAGACTTTGGATCCTGTACTTGTTACACTACAAAACACTGTATGAGATGTGAGAGGGGAGGAATTCTATATCCAGCTGTTCCTAATGAAGGAGGAACTCTGCTAAGCACGGTTTGTGTGTGAACTGAATAAATATTACTACCCTTGTACAATTTCAGGAAAAACATGAGACCTCAAAGCACAAGAACAGAACACAGCAGTGTAAGCAAATCTTTAATTGAAATAAGAAAAGTAATACACTCAAAAATTAAAACCTTGCATGGAAAGCATAACCGAGGGGATGACTGGTAACTAGGATCCATTAGTGCAGTGGTCTCCAAACTGTGGCTCGGGGGCCAGATGCGGCCCTTTTCTTGCTCTTTTCCAGCCCTTGGGACACTATCCCTTCCACTGATACCAACTACGGGGCATAATTCCCCCCCGACACAATGAAGGGGTACAATTTGTCCCAATTACACCAACAATGTGGCCCAGTGACACCAATGATGAGGCACAATTTCTCCTAATGATACCAGCGATGGGGCGCTTTTTCTCCCACTGGCACCAAAGACCTCTTCTACCCCCACTGGCCACAGTCCGGCCCCCCTAATGGCCGAAGGACAGGCCCTTTGTTTAGAAAGTTTGGAGACCCCTGCACTAGTATAGTGTCTTGCTGGAGTGGAACTCCAGGTCCAGTGTATGGAGTGCACACCAGCTTTGGAGAGCAAGTTATCGCTCACATGATCTTCTTTTCCTTTTTTTTTTTTTTTTTTTTTTTTTTCTAGACAATCTTAGGACAATGGTTACATGCGTTCCAGATGTCCTGATTTTATTTATTCTTTTTATTGCTGGTTATAGCAATTCAGTCTTTTGTAACATTATGTTTAGGTATCTCTAACATACAAGCAGATTTCTCTCATTTCTGTACTTTGCAAAAAATTAATATCACTAGTTAGTGCAGTGCATCAGGATTTGCCAAGCGGCTACTAGCAATAATGTCTTAACCTGGCCATAGATGACTTGTCTTTTTGGATTCCTCCATCCACACAAGCAGAGACTCCTCTTCTGTCTCCGCTGATTGAAAAAACGTTTTCAAAAATCCCGTTCAACAGATTTACTTCTGTCAAGCAGGAACAGCCATAGATGAACTGAAATTCAGTTGCTCCCTGCTGGACCTGACTAATTTTGATCATTCTATGGCCAGCTTTAGCAGGCTTGTGGTGAAAGATGTCCATAGATGTCAATGCTGTTATTAAGGAATTTTTACAACGTTCAGTGTCTCTGAATATATCCCTGTTTTCATTTTAGTATTTAATATCTTTTAGCAGAATATATATTTTTGTAAGTGGAAAGATGCGGCAGTGACTTCATGCTCTCCATCTCATCCATTCAGAGAACACTTTGCTTTCATTGAGAAAATGCAAAGCATTCACTGAATGGTGCCTGTGCTGAGTGGCCGCCCTTCTGTGTTCAGAATGCAGCAGGACAACCACTCGGCAAGGGACCCAGAAACAAAAATATAGATCACTGTAGTAGCAATGTCTACTTCAGTCATTTCTAGCTTCCAGGGGCATCAGCCAGGTATGGTATATGCAAAGTTCCAGTGCCTGCAAAAAGTATTCATACCCCTTGAAATTTTCATTTACAAGTTACAACCAAAAACGTAAATTTATTTTATTGGGATTTTAGGTGATAGACCAAAACAAAGGCACATAATTGTGATGTGGAAGGAAAATGATAAATGGTTTTTAAAGTTTTTTTTACAAATAAACATCTGAAAAGTGTAGCGTGCATTTATATTCAGACCCTTTACTCTGATACCTCTAACTAAAATCTAGTGGAACCAATTGCCCTCAAAAGTCACCTAATTAGTAAATCGAGTCCACCTGTGTGTAATTTAATCAGTGTAAATACAGCAGTTCTGTGAAGTCCTCAGAGATTTGTTTTTTTAGAGAACATTAGTGAACAAACAGCATCATGAAGGCCAAGGAACACAACAGACAGGTCAGGGATAAAGTGTGGAGAAGTTTAAAGCAGGGTTTGGTTATCAAATAAAATATCCCACGCTTTGAACCTCTCATGGAACAACTGCAAACCTACCAAGACATGGCCATCCACCTAAACTGACAGGCCAGGAAAGGAGACCATTGATTAGAGAATCAGCCAAGAGAAATTAAATTACACACAGGTTGACTCTGCACCTAAATTAACCATTTAGTGGATGATCAAGAACTTCAAGGAGAGAGGTTAAATTGTGAAAATTGTGACTTTGTGAAAATTAATATTTGAGTCATTCTGAAAACTTTTGGCCAGGACTGTACAGACAATTACCTGTTGATCCTGCCATAAATCCATCGATCTCCTAACTTCCCATTGTTGGCTTACAAAATTGCATCTGCTGCACTGAAATCCTAAGCAATGTTGTTAGTCCTGCCTATGTTTTCCAGTGCTAGACCTTAGAACACCTCCCATTCTCCTCCAGAAGTTGCAGTTTAAAAGAAATGGCAACCCTGTAATGGTGTGAAAACCTTTAGGGCCTGTAGGGCATTAACAGTAGTTGAGAGTAACATTTGAAGAAGGAGCATTCCTGTGTAGCTTCTCCCACTCCTCTCCAAGTCACTGCAGCCAGATAGGTTCATTCACACCAGGGGTGGTGGAATGGATTTGGGTGGCTCTTCCACTGCTGAGGCAAAATGTCTTGTCACCTGTGTGCTCAGTTCACACCACTGCATTCCGTGGTGTGCACTGAAAATAGTCTCACACCGCACATAGGCCCGTTGAACTTTAAAGAAATGTCTGCGTGACATTTCAATAAAGTTCATTTAAAAAAACTTTTTTTGGTTGATGGAAAAAAACTTGGTATACCCAGTTTTAGGCTTAGGCTACACTTGTGCCAGCCCATGCTGCCCTTCTGAAAAGTGATCTGTGTTGGATCATTTTTCAAAGGCATTTGACAGGCATTGGTGAGTCTACAGTCAGGTCCATAAATATTGGGACATCGACACAATTCTAACATTTTTGGCTCTATACACCACCACAATGGATTTGAAATGAAACAAACAAGATGTGCTTTAACTGCAGACTGTCAGCTTTAATTTGAGGGTATTTACATCCAAATCAGGTGAACGGTGTAGGAATTACAACAGTTTGTATATGTGCCTCCCACTTATTAAGGGACCAAAAGTAATGGGACAATTGGCTTCTCAGCCGTTCCATGGCCAGGTGTGTGTTATTTCCTCATTATCCCAATTACAATGAGCAGATAAAAGGTCCAGAGTTCATTTCAAGTGTGCTATTTGCATTTGGAATCTGTTGCTGTCAACTCTCAAGATGAGATCCAAAGAGCTGTCACTATCAGTGAAGCAAGCCATCATTAGGCTGAAAAAACAAAACAAACCCATCAGAGAGATAGCAAAAACATTAGGCGTGGCCAAAACAACTGTTTGGAACATTCTTAAAAAGAAGGAACGCTCCGGTGAGCTCAGCAACACCAAAAGACCCGGAAGACCACGGAAAACAACTGTGGTGGATGACCAAAGAATTCTTTCCTTGGTGAAGAAAACACCCTTCACAACAGTTGGCCAGATCAAGAACACTCTCCAGGAGGTAGTTGTATGTGTGTCAAAGTCGCCAATCAAGAGAATACTTCACCAGAGTGAATACAGAAGGTTCACCACAAGATGTAAACCATTGGTGAGCCTCAAAAACAGGAAGGCCAGATTAGAGTTTGCCAAACGACATCTAAAAAAGCCTTCAAAGTTCTGAAACAACATCCTATGGACAGATGAGACCGAGATCAACTTGTACCAGAGTGATGGGAAGAGAAGAGTATGGAGAAGGAAAGGAACTGCTCATGATCCTAAGCATACCACCTCATCAGTGAAGCATGGTGGTGGTAGTGTCATGGCGTGGGCATGTATGGCTGCCAATGGAACTGGTTCTCTTGTATTTATTGATGATGTGACTGCTGACAGAAGCAGCCGGATGAATTCTGAAGTGTTTCAGGCAATATTATCTGCTCATATTCAGCCAAATGCTTCAGAACTCATTGGACGCCGCTTCACAGTGCAGATGGACAATGACCCAAAGCATACTGCAAAAGCAACCAAAGAGTTTTTTAAGGGAAAAAAGTGGAATGTTATGCAATGGCCAAGTCAATCACCTGACCTGAATCCGATTGAGCATGCATTTCACTTGCTGAAGACAAAACTGAAGGGAAAATGCCCCAAGAACAAGCAGGAACTGAAGACAGTTGCAGTAGAGGCCTGGCAGAGCATCACCAGGGATGAAACCCAGCGTCTGGTGATGTCTATGCATTCCAGACTTCAGGCTGTAATTGACTGCAAAGGATTTGCAACCAAGTATTAAAAAGTAAAAGTTTGATTTATGATTATTATTCTGTCCCATTACTTTTGGTTCCTTAATAAGTGGGAGGCACATATGCAAACTGTTGTAATTCCTACACCGTTCACTTGATTTGGATGTTAATACCCTCAAATTAAAGCTGACAGTCTGCAGTTAAAGCACATCTTGTTCGTTTCATTTCAAATCCATTGTGGTGGTGCATAGAGCCAAAAATGTTAGAATTGTGTAGATGTCCCAATATTTATGGACCTGACTGTATATGTTGCCTTTTCACAGCCTGTTTTAATCCTGTAAAGGCCCATCACCAATGCAGCAAGCAACCACATGCAATAACCCCAGTTGCAGGGTGGTAGCAGCCTGTTCCTGTTCACTTGAATGGGTCGTGTTCAGTGGTAGTACTGCCCGCTGATGGGGTGGGGAGGATAATTTTTGATGCAATGTGTCTGACTGCACTTGCAGCTTAAGGCAGACTGTAAAAACGCAGCTCAGATACCTGTTTCTACCACTCCCCCCAATCACAAGTGTAAATGAGCCCTTAGAGAGTTGTCACAGGAATTGGTGTTACCATTGAAAGATTTCCCCTCGATTCTTGTTCAGGTGGCAACTTTAATATTTTGGATTTGTCCTCACATTCATTCCTGCTGACTTCGGTGATCAAAACCAATTGGAGAAAGGGAATCTCCATAACTGGGACACAGATGGCATAAAAACCTGACAATAGTTCTAACCCCTCACCGTGCTTTAATGTTATCATTTGAATATAAGCCTACCAAAACGTAATCTGGACCTCTGATCTAGTGATCTTCCGTGGTCTACAAGAGAGGTGCATTGTAGTCCTAGCAAGTGTCAACCACTATTTCTCTACAAAGTGTCTTCAAACACTACCTGTCCTCTTTTTAGCATGTTATCTGTAAAATGCACCGTTGCTATTCACAGAATGAATTCTGCGTCAAGCCGACCTAAGAGAGAGCACCATTCAAGATCGATAATATCAACAATAGAGTCAAACGAAAAGCTGCAACATAATGGGATCTCCTGCAATTCATCCATCAAATTATCAGGTACAGATGAGCTTCCCTCTTATACTCAATAAAACACCAATTGTGAAATGAAATCTTTATTTTTAGCTATGTAAATAAACCTTAGATAGACGTGTGTATGTACACACACACACACACACACACACACACACACACACACACACACACACACACACACACACACACACACACACACACACACACACACACACACACACACACACACACACACACACACACACACACACACACACACACACACACACACACACACACACACACACACACACACACACACACACACACACACACACACACACACACACACACTATTGTCAAAAGTATTGGTTGGCCTGCCTTTACACGCACATGAACTTTAATGGCATCCCAGTCTTAGTCCATAGGGTTCAATATTGAGTTGGCCCCGCCCTTTGCAGCTATAACAGCTTCAACTCTTCTGGGAAGGCTGTCCACAAGGTTTAGGAGGGTGTCTATGGGAATGTTTGACCATTCTTCCAGAAGCACATTTGTGAGGTCAGGCACTGATGTCAGATGAGAAGGCCTGGCTCTCAGTCTTCATTCTAATTCATCCCAAAGGTGTTCTATCGGGTTGAGGTCAGGACTCTGTGCAGGCCAATCAAGTTCCTCTACCCCAAACTCGCTCATCCATGTCTTTATGGACCTTGCTTTGTGCACTGGTGCGCAGTCATGTTGGAACAGGAAGAGGCCATCCCCAAACTGTTCCCACAAAGTTGGAAGCATGAAATTGTCCAAAATGTCTTGGTATGCTGACACCTTAAGATTTCCCTTCACTGGAACTAAAGGGACCAAGCCCAACCCCTGAAAAACAACACATTACCCAGTCCATATCAGTATAGATATCCAGCATGATATTTTTCCCCATTGAGATCTGTTGTGTTTTCAAAGTGTACCTTTAATTTTTTTGAGCAGTGTATTTACCGAGAAAAATGGTGTCCGTTTTAGAAGACTGTTGCCCTATAGGTATTGTATATTAATTTTCAGAGCTAAAGCTGTCCATGGATGATGCAATTTCCTTTGCAACCACGGATTGCAAGAAAGAATATTGCTAGATTCCCCCATCAACTGTGTTGATGGGGGAATCCTTTCCGCAGAGCATTTGTGTTCTCTCGGTGAGGGGGGGGAGCTGTCTTTGCCTAGAGAACACAATGATTATTGCTAGTGGCTAAAGTCACTGAAAATAATCGCATGAAAAATCCGAGAGGCTAGTTGTACCCAAATCGCACACCAATCAAATTGGGTACAGTTATCCTGCCCATAGATGGTTCAAATTTTAGACAGTTCTTGCTAAACTGGATGGATTTGAACCATCTATGGCCAGCTTGAGGTATACACAGCTTATAAATACATTTTCAAGACTTTTCCAGGACATGCATTTCCATCATTCTAAAGAAATTTCATGTCCTTTTACTTTCTAATATTTTGTTAAAACTGTACTACTCCAATCTTTTTTTGATTCTTAATGTCCATCCTTCAAACCAAGGCACTGATACCTAGTTCTCAAACTATACTGACAAACTGCATCCTTGTCATTTTTGTATTGTCCTACTGGCCAAATGTTGCAGCCATTTTCATTGTTACCTGCATTTTCGCATTAAAAAAAAAAGAGTGCCAGTATATTTAAAGTAATATGGGATACCACATCCTATTGTCAAACATCTGGAAATATAAAACAAACAAATAAATTGGACCAAGAAAGTCCAGTTTTATTTTTTGTTTTATCTTTCCAGATACTCAGGGAAGATGAAAAGATTGTTTTTAAAGAATAAGTTCACAGTTTGAAAATAAATAAATGCAAATTTTTTTACTGGTAAAAAATAAAAAGGTGAGAAAGGCAGGTGGATGACAACATGATCTTTGCCTCAGCCAATCAGTGGAAGTTTTGTGTGCATTCATAAAATACAAAGCTTCCTTTGAATGGCTGGGCAGCATTCAGCCTGACTCTAATTGGTTCTGGGACGAGAAGATTCTTACTACTGGAACACAACACTACACTGTATGTAGCTGAGGCTATCTACAAATAATACAACGTGCCCTCCAAGTGCACCTGTGCATTAAATAGTTTTGGCTAGCTTGTCCCAAACAAACTTTTTAAGGGATGTTAAACATGGAGTTAGGCCTTAAGATGCAGTTGGTGAGCACCTACAGTACCTAATGATGAGTTTTCCACAATCCATATGAAATGCCAGCATGTTTCAAATTTCAGGCTCAGTTCACAAAGTTTTAACATAAGGACAAGAATTTTAATTTCAGCCGTGCTACTGTAGTTTTCACTTCATCTGAGTTCTAAATACCTGCCACTCTTTTGAAAATAAAGATCCTTACCCTAGTATTAAAGCTTTGTAAGTAGAACCTTTTGAGTGATGTAGGAGTCCATTGATCTCCATTAGTGTGCTCATCTGCGTGTTAATCTGCAGGAGAGCTGCTTATGTTATAACTTTGATGTTGAACCCTTTTCTGTGCTTAGAGGTGTAAAAAGGAAGAACAGCACAATATATGTATGGAACATCAGGAGACTTGCTGTGACCAATGTACAAAAACCCCCCCAAAAAAACCCCAATGCTTTATCCTATTTTCTGAACCCTGCTGTTGCTGTTCATTGTTGCCACTGTAAAGTCTCTATACATAGTGTATTGTTAATCTGGCCACATATGGATGGAAATTTGGTTGGTTTAGCAGAGACCGGACAAATTTCAATCCACGTGTGGCCACTGTGGTGGAACAGAAATCAATCGAATGATTTATTTCTGTTCAGCTGCCCTCTCGTTATATTTTTGCTTAGTTAGGACCAAAGGCAATAGGTTGCAGCACTGATTAGTGTATTCTAACATCAGGGGACTCTCCTCGTTGTCAGAATAAAGTGATTGAGCGTGGAGGATTCCTCCATCCACATCATATGTGCCGTTGGGGGAATCATTTTTCTTTTATTCAACCCGCTGTATTAATGAAAAAAACTGACCTGTGTATGACCACCTTTTAGTTGATGTTTTGACCTCTACTGACAACTATGTATTGCAAGGGACTATCTGAATATACAAGGCTGAGATTGTCAAGGTAGGCCTTCAGATTGTATAGGTTTGGAAAATCCAAAGCAGATTGTACAACTGGATTGAATTGTCCTATGTTATCAAAATTAATCTGAATAGAAACACACCAATAACCTGAAATGGAACACATGCACATCAATTCAGCCATGGCTGTGTTTCTGGTTTTGCCTTCCATTTAATATGTGCTAGATTATTAGTGCCAAAATCCTGACTGCAATCTTCTGTATTTGCCTAAAATATGTATTTGCATGCATATTTAAAGCAGAGCTCTGGGCTCTCTCCAAAAAATTAAAAGTCAGCAGCTACAAATACTGTAGCTGCTGACTTTTAATATAAGGGAACTTACCTGTCCAGGGGGTCCAGCGATGTCCTCACCCCAGCCGTTTCTCTAATCGGCTTCAGGTGCTGGTGCCGGCGCCGGCATCTTCTGTAAGGGAAACAAAGTGAAGACTTTCTGCTTCACAGCCAGTTTCTTACTGTGCATAGCTCACTGCGCTTTGTGAATGGACCGCACTCTTCTGGGACCTGTTAAGTGCCCCACTAGGCTGCGGGGGTTGGGTTGGAGGGGCAAAATTCCAACCCGGATGTGGGAGTGAGAATCTGTCAAAACTAGGTACCCGCTCCCTCAAAAAAGTGTCAAATGTGGCAGTGGAGGGAGAGAGGAGGCAGACAAATGGAACTTCCCCTTTTTGGTGGAGTTCCACTTTAAATTCCCACAGGTTCCCTTTAATAAATGAATGAGCAAATTAATTAGGTTAGTGCATTTTTTCCCCAATTCTGACCAGCTTAGACAAGACACACTCAAGAGGGTGAGTGGAGTCATAATAATCCTCAATTCTTCCACATGTGGACAGTTGTTGGAGCCATAGAGATTTCATTAACAGTAAGTGTTTTTCTACAGACAGGCTTTTTTTTTCGGAAATGAAGCTATGGTTATCCAATGTTATACAGCTAGCTAAAATGTGAATAATGCTTAGGCGAGCTCTCCTTTTAAAATATTAATGGGAAGTTACATATCTTGTGTGAAATGTGAGCAATTAGCATGTAGTTAATTACTGCCTTGCAGCCAGCTTTTCAGAGTTGGAGATGATGTGATGAATATCAATGAGATATGCTTGTCTTTAGGTTTGGATGATTTCATACCAGACCCACTATAATGGAACCGATTCTTATACATACAGTACATAAAAGTCATCGGTTCAGTAATAATAATGAATTGTGTGGTATGGATGTGATCTCAAAGTGCCTTTATTGCGCACTGCAAGCCCTGACTAAACTGTTATAAATGTGTCCTTATTTGTAATTACAACCATTCTCACAATCCTGATCATAAATGATGACCATTTGGAATCTGAAGTTTTATCCCAGTCCATTGCCATCAGCATATCTGGGTCCCTTCACTATAGGTCCTTCCTCATTGTAAACCCCCTGGGTGCCCAGGATGTCCCAAGTACTCTCATTTGCATTGACTTTTTATGGGTTGATAGGTTGGGAACCTGGTTCTACCACTTTACGTAGCCCCACTATTAGCCATTGAGTCTGTCCATCACGGTACTAAGACAATAAAGACTTAGGAGATGGAGGTAAGTGGATATCAGAGCACTCAGGGTGCATCCTGTGATCATGGATATTATGTGTCAGCAAAAGCTAGCTTTAATTTTTTAATTATTTTTGAAGCGGGGGCTTGGGTAAACTGGGTGCCGAATGCAAAATATAAACTGATGATCTCCTGTAAATAATATCACAATCGTATTCCTAAATCTTGTGTGAAAGTTTAAAGTGGCCCATTTGTGAAAATGTAACAGGCCAAAAAGCTGTAGACTTACCCCTCGTGCTGCCCACATCACTGATTGCCACTAAGTTTTTTTTATTGCAGGTACTTATATAGCGCTGTCAATTTACGCAGTGCTTTACATATATATTGTACATTCACAT